TACTATTATTAAATATTATTATTATATATAGTTATATATTAAAATCTTGTAAGTATCATGCGATATCATGCGATATCATGTGATCCATATACATTCCACCAGGATCTACGTATGGCTGAGTACTTGGATGTTGTTCCCTGAGTTCTACCTAGTGAGCGAGACATTTCCAGATGCCAATGTTCCTCAAAAGCCTGGAGCCCCAGCGCCAACCTGTTCCAACCAGTGAGTTCAGTGATGTTCAGTGTCCCTCCTGAAGAGTCCGCACATGCTTCAAATGGATGTTTTATTATGGTTCCAGGTGCTTAAGACCCAACAGCTTGACCCACCCCCCGTCCCACACAACGCGCCCAGTGACTCAAGGCCGCAATCAGCGCTGCACGTAGGTCGTCTGAACACCTGGGAGGTGCACTGGGGATTTCTCACATTTAGCAGTGGGATGATATTGTCCCATTCTTATCCCACAATTCTCCCATAATTATCCTAGGATTGTTTCATTATTCATGATAATCTCACAATAATCCCATAATCCCAGGATTATCCCATAACTATCCCAGGATGATTCCATAATCTCCCCCAACATTTGGAGAGATTATAGGATATCCCATAGCTTTCCTATAGGATTAACCCATGATAATCCCAACATTCCCTGGTTGGTGGTAGACCTAGCCCTCTGAAAAATATGAACTTCAGTTGGGATTATTATTCCCAATATATGGAAAATCATAAAATTCATGTTCCAAACATGTAACCAAACCACCAACCCAATTATTAATATCCACCATATAGTTGATTGATTGTTCCAAACCACCAATCAGTTCCAGCATTTGGAGATTCCTTTGGTATACCATCTATCATCATAGAAACCTCTTGTTTTTCAGGGTTTCTTATAGGATTATCCCATGATACCCTCTGGTAATTTAACATAGCTATGGAAAATCCACCCATTTTTTAAGGGAAAATCCACTATTTCTATGGCCATGGCTTCAATAGCTATTTTGACATAACCAGAGGGTAATCTCCCCCAAGATCCCCCACCATTTGGAGACTGGGATGACCCGCTTCCCCGCGGCGTCCGCGGCGTCGCTCTCTCCGAGCGCCGCCCGCAGCTCGGAGCGGAAGGTCTCCTCGCTGGACACGAGGCGCGATGCCATGGCGACTGTTTCGCCGCGATGACGGGGTTCCGTTCCGGTGGAAGAAACCCAAAACGGGTGGGAAAAAAAAACGGTACCCTCTGGTTATGTCAAAATAGCTATTGAAAATGACCATTGATAGTGGATTTTCCCATTAAACATGGTGATTTTCCATAGCTATGTTAGTTTACCAGAGGGTAATGTGGTCATGATTTGTCATGATGTTCTTGGGAAATGAGTAGAAATGCTGCAGAACAACATCAAACTTCATTGTGTACTGGCATGCAAGTATATTCAAGTTAGCACTGCTTGGGTCTCCCAAACGTCAAATCCACCCTGTGTTTTGTTTAGGTAAAGATATGTCAATGCTATATCCTCAAAACTTGTACAGCTTTGTCCGTAACAATCCCCTCAAATTTGTAGACTTCTGTCCGTAGCAGCAGTGCTGCTTCAAGTCTGCGTTTGAACGCTGGATTAGTTTAAAACCGCTTTGGGCCTGAGTGCACCGACGCTGGTTGTACCTCTACCTGGTGCAATCTGGTTGCTGGTTCAGACAGGACATCTTATCAAACAATTAGGGTGAGAAAACAAAATATACCTGAGATCTTGCCCAGGAAAGAAAAAATCGCCCTAGCTGAACCTGAAAGAATCAATGGATTGAATATATGCAGTAAATTGAGGAAACCATGGTCTTCACGACCTAAAATCGTGTTTGCTAGGCTTCCTGCTTACCTGTCAAAGGAATGACGAGGCTACTTGGGAAAAGGGACGCCTTAAAATAAGACTCTACAACAATTGCTATAGCAACCCCTAGTATCACTCTATCACTATCAAAAGTAAAGTTCTATCTTTTTGCGGGTCACCATACAGTTCTTTCATTAGAATTCCAAAAATTGAGGCTCTTGAGGCATCCTCATTTGCAGACAGACTGATATAAGACCTACGCATTGAATGTGTGCCCCCCAAAGTTGTATCCATTACGATTTCCCAAGAAAATCAGAGGAATCATCCCGCAACTGGCCTGCGGACCATGGCTTGGATTTGCTGAGTCCAGGCTGCAAATAAGTAAAAACATCTGTAAAAACAATATTTGAACATGTCCCCAATATTTTTAAACCTTGTCTTTACAATCTAAAATTAGGTTCCCCATTTCTCGTGGATATTTTTTATTGGAACAAATACGCCAAACATCGCCGACGAGACAAATCCCATGGGCCGCTGTCACCCCCACTGCGCTCATCCCAGCTCTCCGTTTTCGTCGACTAGGTCGATGCGGTGAAGCGCGACTGGGTGGTCCCTCAAAGTTTCTGTGTCGCGTTGTGGGGAAATGCACAAACCCGCTCCATGGTGCTGGAATATATGCACCCACATTGCACCCAGAATTGCCCAGTTCTGATCAATATATCATGGAGCATGTGGGAAACATCACTTGAGGCCCCGCATATTTAGCTATTGCGGATTTGATGATTCAGGATGAACTACTTGATGATTGATTCTACAAGCCAAAATGAAAACCTAGAAAAAACTCACAACATCTCACAACCGTTATCCGATCCAAACGTCACCGAAAAGCCAAAGATAGTTTGAGCCACCACCCATGCAAGGCAAAAACAGCCCAGCTGTAGCTAATGCATCGGTAGCATGCCACAGCGTTTTTTTTCCCTCAACCGCAGCCACCATTTTTTTTGGCCTGAACCAAGAGAATTATCAAACCTCTGTGCATTGCTCTCTTTGAAGCCAACCGTGGAAGTGGTTTTACGCTTCACCCGCTTTCATTTTTTAAACAAATGAAGATATTGGGAAATTTTTGGTTTGATCAAGATCATCCACTATTCCACTTATATAAACCAAATCTCAACACATACTAAACTAGGTTCCGCACTTTCCACTTCCACTTCGATTTTTCGTTCCAGGTCTATGGCCTAAAAAAATCACTGAAGATTCACCAAGTACGACACCACATCTTCCGCAGAAATGCTGTGGACGCACGAACTGCTGGGTGAAACCTCGAGTTTCTAAGGCAGTGGTCAGGGAAGATGAAGATGATGCCATGGAAAAATAACATCTATAGCAACCCCCCCCAAAAAAAAAGTCAAATCCCAATAAGATAAATCACTGTTCTATCTTTTTTGCGGTTTGCTGTGCATGAACATTTTTTGTTGTAGATCAAAATTACCATCTGGTTATTTAACATAGCCATGGAAAATGGCTCATTTATAGATGGTTTACCTGGGTTTACCTATTAAAAAATTGTGATTTTCCATGGCTATGTTAAATGACCAGATGGTAGTTGAATGTCCTTAGTCCTGTAAATCTTCCATCTCAAGCTGGGAGTTTGGGAGTGAATTTCTCAAGTCCACGGTCCGAAACTAGTCCAACCGCTGAAAGCTCAGAGTTTGCTGGCTATGGAAATCACCTGTTTTAGCTAAATCATAGCAAAATAAGTATTTTTAGCTATGCTAGATTTGACTAAATCAGCTGTTTTTTATGGAGAATTTGCCAATTATTTTTGCATTTTTGCATGAGATTTTACAAAATGGGCGAATTCTCCATAACTATGAAGCAGTGGCCACCAGACCACCGGAAGCCCTACGGGATGTGCCATATGAAACATAATATCATTGGGTCATTTACATACCATTATATTACACTATATTTAACGAGTCTCAAAATTCATAGTACATTGCCATAGAATGCCATCTATGGGTGACAAATGATTGCCATCTACAATTTATGTTTACTTCCCATTGCCATAAACCAATTCTGCTATGATTTGTGTGTGTATATCACTGTATACCCCCTGGTAATTTCCATCATATCATATGACTTGCAAATTTACAAATAAATTTCACATTAGAACCATAAATTAGTTCGGCATTTCCCAGCCGTATGAAGACACCGGAGGGTATATCCCCATCACAATAGCACTAATAGGTAGATAAACATCCCGCCGGGTGCGGAATCGCGCGTGTAGGCGCATCACCATGGTCAAAAAATGACAACCTTTTCAGTGTTTCGTAGCCGTCTCAAAGTAAAATAAAAATAAAAAAATGGTCATTTTTCTTGCGTTTGGCAACCCTTCCACACGAAATCCGGACCTTTTTTGCATTGCCAGTTTCAGTGATCATTGTGCATGTAAACCTGTGCTGTTTTTTTCAACAGGTCAGGACACAACGCGTTTTCCCATCTCCATTGCCAGGATCGAATGTATTGATCGATCCTGGCATTGAAACTGTCAGCCGTTTTTGTACCGACTGAGGACGGGACTGCTGCCTTACACAACGTCCAAGCTGAGTCAATGCCACCAGTGTGCACACAACTTCCAAGCTCAGCGTCAGTGGCGTGTTCAACTTCAAACGAACGTTAACATAACATCACCCAACCCCACCCCATGCTCAGCGTAGCATCAATGGCGTGTTCAACTTCAAACGAAACGTTCACATCCCCACCCACCCCCATGCTCAGCGTAGCATCAGTGGCGTGTTCAACTTCAAACGAACGTTCACATCCCCACCCCACCCCATGCTCAGCGTAGCATCAATGGCGTGTTCAACTTCAAACGAACGTTAACATCCCCACCCCACCCCATGCTCAGCGTAGCATCAATGGCGTGTTCAACTTCAAACGAACGTTCACATCCCCACCCCACCCCATGCTCAGCGTAGCATCAGTGGCGTGTTCAACTTCAACCGAACGTTAACATCCCCACCCCACCCCACCCCAGCCCATCCCGCGTTGCCAGTTACGTGAACATAAGAGTGCAACATGGTGTGTAAGCTCAAAAACATGATGTGAAATTGGGAATGTTGAAAATGTGTGTCACTACACGTACGGTTTTGCACCCGTTAGCATAAACGTCTTTAGTTAAAGCTAAACCACACCAAGCTTCAATGCTGTCTTGGATTCGCGCGGTACGCTGGGACAGCCGTTCACATACAAGACAAGCTCCTTCAAATTTCAATCTCCAAAAGCAAACAGCTCTCGAAATTCCATAGAAACAATTAGAAGGATGTGGTCACATGGTGAGAAAACAAGTCTCAACCTACCCTGCAAGCTCCTCCAAACGAAGCTTCAACAATGCCTTGTTGCTGACGCCCAACTCGATGTCCTCTAAGTCTGGAAGGTCTGACAGCCACAGCTCCAAACGTCTCAAGGAAGGGCAAAGCAAAGCAGACAAACCAGAAATGCTTCTTAAAGATCCTGCGAAGCGAATCACTAGGGTCTGAAGGGCGTTTCCGAAGGAAGCACCCGCTAGATCATCCAAACGCTCCAAACCAGTGTAGGCAAGATCGAGCCGTAAACTTTGCAGTTTGGATGGCAGGTTGTCGATGAGAATCCGCAAGTCCGGGTCTCGGAAATTGTGGCAACCTGTCAGTGACACTTGGATGTTCCTTCTTTCTGCATCTGACCGTAGTGCTTGCCACAGGGTTGATGGGGCTTGTTGTCCGTTCCGATATGACTGCTGGATGCTGGTCAGTGCAAAGTGGGAGGCTAAAGCTTTGTTGACGGCATCATAGCGGGGGTGCTGCGTTGGAAAAGGCGTGTCCAACGCCCATGTCCTGGCTCGCGGACATCGCACGGAGTTCAAAATCCGTGTCTTGTCCTCTTCTTTGGATGCTTGTGCTGTAGCAATGTCAACGCTGAGGCCTTTCTGAAGCAAATCCATTGGAAAGGATTGCTCACGGCGTGACTTGCAGAGCAAGCCCAAGATGGGGAGAACCCGGGTCTCAGCACCGACTAAGCCATCAGTGATGACATGGGCAATATGGCAAAGATCTGTGGCAGCAACATCAAGTAGCAAAGAGTTGGTGTCCCGTTCCTCCACCTCATGTCACATTTAGCAATTTAGCCACAACATGCGAAGATTGAGACCTGAGATTTTTGGGAAGTTCCAAGAATTTCACAATCAAACTAACTCACAGCTCAATATGCTCAATGAGACAAACTGAGCGCCAGGCTGCAATCGACTCCTCAAAGCAACACCAAATCCTCGTAAATGGTGTCGCCGTTGTTGTTGTTGGGCAATTGTAACGCTGCCACAGCCTGGGCCCACCGAGGTGAGTGGCTGGAGGCAGCTTTCGGGCGCCATAGGCGCTGGGGGCCACCCCCACTCCTGGAGGGTAGCTTGAGACAAAGCTCGCAATCCTGCACAATACAACTTCCAGCGTAAATGGTGTCGCCTGTGTGTCCAGAACCAGCAACACCCCACGGCATAGCTTCATTGCTTTGTAAAATGAAGTTTTGCGCGGGTTGTTGGAAATTGCTTCCTCCAATGCATGCTGGTTGTTCGCGTAAGCACATACCCAATATGCTGGAACGCGGAGTTCTCGAAGGGTTGAGTGCCGGCGGAGGCAGGTGAGAAAGAGGTGTATGGGTTCAAGCCATGCATGCGAGACAAACCACAAAGGTCTCTGGGCCTCAGGACTATCTGCCACAAGCCTCAGGATTTGTCACAGCACTGTTTGCCTCCAAAAAACGAAGTTTCCCTATGTAAACATATATATATACTACTTGATCATCACTTTCCTGTTTAATGGGCCGTTTGTCTATGTATCCATACGTATCCCATTTTTTGGACACGCCCAAAATGAAGAGTTTGAACCGTTTGAACCCACAGGCACCATCTGATGTTCGAATACATTTCTTCTCGCGTAGCACACTTGCTTGAAAATAAGCCCGGGTGCTATCCCCAACAGCTTGGAAGTTTCTGCTTTGTTTCATTTTTCACAGCGCCGTTTCAGAACGGAACATCACCCGCTGCAAGCTGTGGTATTAAAAAGAGACTGCTTCCAGATTTCAGACTAGAAAACGCCACCATGAGACCTTGCATCGTTGTCATCAAACAAGTGAACTCATACATAGGCAGTCATGTTGGACTGTACGCTGTTACTAACTCTAGTAGTCATGTGACTTTCACGATGACATCATGCGCACATTGTCATACAATCATACAGATACAATCATACACATACAAGCATGCAATGGTGCTGCGCAATGGTAAAAGAACCAGGGCCAGGAACCTCAACAGGTATCTGCACAGGAACCCTCCAGAAGCTGACCAGGTGTCTGCACCGGAACCTTCCGGAACCGCAACAGGTATCTACATCGGAACCTTCCGGAACCTCACCAGGTATCTCAACCAACATGAATTGATACAAAGGCAATCATGTTGGATGACACGCTGCTACTAACTGTATATGATCTTGTGTTTGTCATCATGACATCATGCGCACATTGTCAAACCACCATACACGTACAATCATACAGATACAAGCATACACATACAACCATGCAATGATGTCGCACACAGGTACGTGTCGCATTCCCATGAAAAGTAGTACAAACACATGAGGTGCAAGTGTTCACTTTGCACACTTTTGTGTTCACCATTCGCTCCTGCTGTTGACAAGATTGTTTATGAATCTGCGGCAAGCAACCAACATGAACTCATACACTCGCAATCATTGTGTATTACACGTTCTTCCTAGTTGTATGTGGTCTTGTGATCGTCATGAAAACATCATACACACATTGTCATACAATCATGCACATACAACCATACAGTCATACACATACAACCATGCAATGGTGCTGCACGCAGGCACGCAGGTAAATGAATCAGGGCCCTGGAAAGTGCTCACGGTGTCTACTTAGGTGTTGAAGTGTTCATTCCATTCCATTCCTGCAGGTAGCAGAATTGCTTATTGATCTTGGGCAAGCAACCAACATGAATTGATACAGACACAATCATGTTGGATGACACGCTGTTACTGAATGTATATGGTCTTATGACCGTCATCATGACATCATGCGCACCCTTGTCATACAATCATACACATACAATCATACACATACAATCATACACATACAAGCGTACACTTACAATCATTCAATGATGTTGCACACGGGTATGTGACGCATTCCCATGAGAAGTAGTATATGAAACATTCCTATGAAAAGCTGTACTGATCCCTGGTCTCTGCGCCTGCCTCGGTGCAGTTCAGCGGATTGATTGTCGGATCCCTGGCCTCTGCGCCTTTCACCCGCGCAGTTTACCAGAGTGATGGTTGGATCCTTGGTCTTAGCAACTGCCACCCATGCAGTGCCAGATCGCGAGTCAGGTTTTGCGTTGTTTATCACTTCACTGCGTCCATGCCACCTTTGTTGTCACGTTTCTTTAAACTCTAAACCCACGCCGTCGTGACAGTTCGATATATCACCTCAGGCTTTGCGGTCGTCGTTTTGCTTTAATTTAGTGGTTTTCAGGCTGGTTCGTCTTAGGATTGTTCCCTTTTCCGTGCCATGTTGTTGTCCTTCATACTTCTGCTTTGGTTTGCGCTGTGCGTGATTGAACCGTTTTTGATTATGCATCAAACTCAGCACTGTCACTTGTTGCTGTTTGCCGACACGTTTTGCGGATCAGTCTTCCCGCGTTTGTCCTTGCTCTTCTTTTCGCCCACAACGTCGTGATGTTTCAATATCAGGTTTTTGCGGTAATGTTGTGTTGAATGGTTCTCACGCTGGCTTGTCCTGAAATTGTTCCCTTTGCCTTGCCATGTTGTTTGTCATACATTTGTTTGTCGAACAGGTTATGCCTCGAATTCAGCGTTGTCAGTCGTTTTCCTTTGTCAACGTCTTTTGCGGATCTATATAGTTTTTGCAATGATTGGTATTGGACGCCAATTTCCGCTTCGCGCAACATCTCAAAAACACAAAACAATCTTCTCAAACATCTCAAAGACACTGACCAAACTTCTTAAACGTGCCAAAGACACAAAACAAACTTCACAAACATCAAGGACACAGAACAAACATCTCAAACACCAGAAACTGTGTAACAAAGGCGTCTCATACATGTACTTCATGATAAAACTGTCCCTCTAAAGTGCTGTAACGCATCCAATTCACATTGATCACACGTATTGTCTGCATGTACAATCGTCACAATCCGTATCTGAATGTCAGTGTGTGAAATACAGAGAAACGGGACACTAAGCAAAACCACCAGTTAGTATGATGTTGCACATGGGCATTTGAAACATTCCCAAGAAAAGCTGTACCTATCCCTGGTCTCTGCGCCTGCCACCCGTGCAGTTTACCAGAGTGATGGTTGCATCCTTGGTCTCTGCGCCTGCTACCCGTGCAGTTTACCAGAGCGTTTGTCATATCTTCTGCGCCTGCCCCCTGGCAGTTGGCCAGGTTGATTTTCAAAATGGTGGTGTCTGCGCGTGCCGCCGGTGCAGTCCAGCAGGTTGATTGTCGGATCCCTGGTCTCTGCGCTTGCCACCCGTGCAGTTTACCGGAGTTTTCGCCCACAATGTCGTGATGTTTCAATATGACGCTTCAGGTTTTTGCGGTCATGTTGTGTTGAATGGTTCTCACGCTGGCTTGTCCTGAGATTGTTCTCTTTGCCTTGCCATGTTGTTTGTCATACATTTGTTTTGGTGCGCGCTGCGCTTGATCAAACAGGTTATGCCTCGAATTCAGCGTTGTCAGTGGTTTTCCTTTGCCAAACTCAAGTGCTGTAACGCATCCAAAGCACATTGATCACACGAATTGTCTGCATTTACAATCATCACAATCAGTATCTGAATGTCAGTGTGTAGTGTGAAAAACAGACAAACGGGACACTATTTACGTAGAACCACCATTTGGTCATGAAAAAGTTTTCGTGCATTGCGTGCAATCGTACTTTGGTTCGACGCCAACCGTATTACCCGTACATCATTTACTGAGTCGCTGTCACCTATGTCTCTGCTGTTTTTGACCCACGATGTCGTGATGGTTCGAGATGACTCTTCAACTTTCGTCGGCCGTCTATTATTTGTCAATCGTCTGCAAGCCCACGTGTGTTAAGATTGTTGTCTTTACGTTGCCGTTTCGTTCCTTCATTTTTTCCCCAACAGCAGAATGCTTTGGGGTCTCAGCCCACATAGCCTTCGGGGTGCTCCGGGGCACTGCTCGACCCTGCCGCCTCGTTTCGCCGGTTCCGGGAACCAGGGTTCCGAGAACCGGTTCCGGGAACCAGGGTTCGGGGCAAGGTTCCGGGAACCCAGGGTTCCGGGAACCAGGGTTCGGGGCAAGGTTCCAGGAACCCAAGGTTCCGCAAACCAGACTTTCAAGCAAGGTTCTGGGAACAATGGGTTCTGGCTACCTTTTGGGTTCCGGGACGTCAAGGTTCCGGGAAGGTTCCGGGCACACTTGGCTTTCGACAAGGTTCCGGGAACCTTACCATGGTTTCGAGCAGCCAGAGCCTGGATTGTGCCAAAGTTCTGGAATCACCGGAACACCAATTTTGAGACATCCTGCAAACCCAGAGTTTGGGGAACCAGGCTTCTGGCAAGGTTCCAGCAACACTGGGTTCCGACAAGGTTCCGAGAACCACCACAGATGCGGACCCACAGTTTGGATATACTTCCTGGATTATGCCACAGGTTCCGGACAGGGACAAGGTCAGAGTTCTGGCAAGGTTCCGAGGTTCGGGAAACAACCCAGGGGTCGGATATACGCCGTGGGTTGTACCAAGGTTCATGCTACGGACAGGGTCCCAGAAAACCAACTTGCAAGGAAACCAAGAATCCAGGACCAAAAGGGCCCGGTCAACGAGCAATCGCTGACAGGGGGGGGACAGCGTGACAATAAATCAGCGCGTCTCGGTTCCGGAAACCCAGGGTTCCAATATACGCTGTGGGTTGCGCCAAGGTTCCGGAAACGAGGGTTCCAGGAAGACAAGGTTCCAGGGACACAAGGTTCCAGGAACACAAGGGATTCCGGAAATCCCCCAGCCAATCTTGGGTGCTTTGTGGCCCCTCACTGAATTCCGAATTCATGTTCGTTTGCTCAGTGGGCGCACAGCGTCGGTCGACTGACCTGTTCTGATGTTGCTGTAAAATCTTCTGTTTGAACTGTTCCGATGTCGCATCTACCAAAGCACATGCCACATCAAGCAATTAAGTTCGATGCCTTGGAACACCTAAATATTGGCAGCAAACCTGTGTGAGGCTTCTCGAAGCCAGGTAGATGATTTTTTGAAGCTAAGTGACCAAACAGCAACACACAATGAAACTTCAGACACAGTTGTGACACAACAACCAAGTATTGACATGAAACTAATTCTGGAATCATGATGGACAATTTGGCCAAAACCAACTGTTTCACCAATCACTTGCGCAAACTGACCGATGTTGTCCAAGCACGACAAGATAATCCCAAACCAACACAC